GGGCCCCGCCCCGCCCGCGCGCCCCGCCCATTGGCCCGCAGGCCGAGGAGGCGGGAGCAAAGTGGGAGGAGCGGCGCGGCGACCCGGCCGCCGGGAGCCGGGAAGGCGCCGCCGGGCCCCTCCCGGGAGCGCGCGTCTGCCGCCTTCTTAGCACGTGGGGCTTCTCGGCCCCACCTCGCCGCTTCGGTCCGGCTGCCTGCTCGCGCTCCCCCGCCGGCCTGCAGCCCACGCTTCACCCTCGGCTCTGACCTCCGGCCTGAAGACCGAGGTCGCCAGAGGTTGCGAACAGCCGCGAAAGCCCCTGTGACCCCCGTGGACACGGCCCTAGCCCGCCTTCCTTGTCCCTATACGTTTCTTCAGCCAGTCTAGCCGGTGAGAAGCTGTTGAATAAACTTTCTTGAAGGGCCAAGGGGCTAAGGGACGATGCTGATGTAAGGATTCCTTCCTCACTTTGTATTTCAGGCGTCGCACAAGGGCACTGGATCGCAGAATGCGTTTAATAGAGCCAGTTCCCCCCCTTTTGCTCCTGCTGATTAAGAGCAGGGGAATATCGTTTCCAATCTGGACTCCCCTACCCATCAACTGTGTGACCTGGGACAAATTAACTTCTCTGGGCTTCAGTTTCCTCCTGGATAAAATGAGACCCACCTAATGAGGTTATTGTAAGGATAAAATGAGATAATGTGTGTAAAACTTGTAACAACAGTACCCAGTACATATTGGAAAGGCTCAAAACAGTAGCTATTGGTAATGCTAGGTTTTCATCCCATCTCACCCACACCTGCTGACTACACCATTAGCGTCCCTGGAGGTCCTGGCCTTCAGTTGGCATTCAAGTATTTGTTGCAGTGAATATAATTTCTGTCCAAAAATTATGAGACTAGAAGCTTTTTTCAAAGAGACTAGTTGCTAGTAAAGGAAGGAATGCAAATTGGCAGCTTTCCATTTTACAGATGAGGAAACAATGTCAGAAAGGTTAATTAATTTAGATGAAGTCACACAACTATAAATGACAAGCCAGGTTTCAAACCCCAATCTGAGAAATCTGTTCCCTTTCAGCTAGAATTCTTTCGAATGGAGACTCTCTATAAGCAGCAAACTGAACCCCTATTTATAATAAAATTGCGTTAAAGTTATTCCTCAGCCCTATGACAGTGACTACTGAGGTACGTTAAGGAGCTTTCTCTGTAATTGTGAGAATTCTCAAGGACACAGGTAACTTGATTTGGTTTTGATTTTATATTATTTTTTCTTAATGTCATCCATAAATATGCACTATTTATACTCAATCTAGTACCCTTGTCACCAAAATCACGTATTTATAAAACAGGTACCAAAGTGCACTTTAGCTACAAAAAAGAGAGCCAACCAGCCCACATTTTGTGGCTACCATCAATATAACTCATGGATACCCTCACAGAGTAATTCCTAAATCACTTACTGCTGTTTTCGTAGTGAAGTTCTGTGCTTGCGTTCACATTGTGACTTGTGGAAATAGAGAGAAACCATTATTTTAAAAGCTCAAGAATCCCAGAGAGCCCTCTGCCCAGCAATCAGCCACTCCAAAACTAATTGAAAACATTCCCCAGTCATGGAGTAGTAGAATCATCTTCAACTTATCACTACCTTTTGGCCAAATCTAGCTACTTCTTCTCAGATCTACCCATTCATTCCCTTAAATTCACACTATCAAGTCCTTGAGTCAATCATCTCTTTTTCCATTTGCAGCTACATCTTTTTTCCCTGCACTTTTGGCCACCTTTGAGTACCTTGCTGAAGAAGGTCACATAAATCTCAGCGAGCTAGGCAGAATTTCCGGAATGGCCAATTGCTGCTACTAACACTTGCCTGATAACTAGACTTCATTTCTCCATTACCAGCTCACAGTCACTGAGGAGTCAGTTTGTAATCACAAGCAAGAAGATCTGGTTGGCCCAGTTTAGGTAGAGTTTTTCCAAAGGTCCAATCACCCGTGGCTAGTTGAGTAGAGGTCACGTCGTCAGAAATCCCTATGAGTGACTCTCCCTACCAATGAAACTGGCAGTTCTCAGAGAAGGCCTTGATGAATATTTACTATTCTACATGCTAAAGGAAGACCATTGGAACAAACAGGATATTAATAGTGAACACTAATGCCAAACCCAATAAAGGGACCTGATTAAGGGAGTAGAGGATAGCTTATCCTTGAGACTTTGCACAAAGGAAAGACTATTACTATCTGTTAGGCTCAGTGATTAAGTAAAGCCTGGAGGAAGGAATCAGACATGGCCTAAAATGAAAATTGAGCAAAAGATTTCAGTCAGGGTGCACGAGAATAGACCATCAGTTCAGGTCAACATAAGGTTGCTACTGAGAAAAGATCAATGGGATAAAGAAAAAGTTTACACAGCCCATGTTTTCACTCTTTGCTATCATTAGCCTTTCTGGACTTTTCTTTCTTTCTCAGGCTTCAGTCAATGACCAGGGATCAAGTGAGTTGACTCAAGATCATGAAGAATCTTGAGAGTGGTTTGGGGCCAATAATGTATCCCCAGGTACAGAGTAGCTCTGTTGGAAATTCAGCAGTATAAACCAATCCTGTACAGAAAGCTAAGCACAGGAGACTGCAAGAGTATACAAAGAGGGTAAGAAGGAAAATGGGAGTAGCAACATGTTCACCATGTGCTTGCAGGGCTTGACTACACCTGTTAGCCAGCCCTGGCCACAGCTGTTAAAGGCATAACAGAAAACAGAGTCATAGTAGTAATAACTATATTGAAAGGGAAATTGAGTCCTGATAATAACTTTACAGGGGAGGAGACAGCTTGCAAAAATATATAGAGAGAGAGAGAGAGTTTCTTTCTGTTACCAGTAGTAGATTTTGTCTTCTCTCTCTCCACTAAACTTACTATCACATTCAGTGTCCAGAAAATAGACCTGTGTGTTTAGAATATCCTACTCAACATTTTTGTTGGTGTCATTCATATAAGATTCTGTCCTTGAGCACCTATTCCACCTCAGGCATTGCTCCAGACTTTGGAGCAATGAAAAATAAGATTAATAAGGTCCTTGCCCTCAAGGAGCTTGCAGTCTAGTGGGGTAGACAAGTAATTACACAAAGAACTACTTAAGAACCTGTAAATGTAAGTACTTTAACTACAATTTGAAAAGTTAAAATAAACCACTTTGATTTTCACTTACTTTCAGGACTTTCGATATTAAGTATCAGAGAGTAGCTTAATCATCATTGCCTTTCTCTGTTCTGTTACCTGCAAGACTGAGACAGTGTTAGGCATTGGCAAAGAAGCCTATTTTCCATTTTCATTCTTCCGCTTGACAGATTATGATTTTTTTGAGTTTCTGAAATTGACTGTAAGTTACCTGTAAAGTAAAATACAGGTAATCAACTGCTTATATTCTAGAACTGCTCATGGTATTTGAAAGAATGCTGATTGAAGGATCTGAGTATCATCCCAGAGACTGCTAGAGTTTTGTTGTCTAATCTCTATTGCAATTCATGGATAAAGATTTAAGAATTCTTTTTTTTTTTTAATGGTAATGATGTCTCACTATGTTACCCAGGCTGGTTTCGAACTTCTGGTCTCAAGCAGTCCTCTCACTTCAGCCTCCCAAAGTGCTGAAATTACAGGCATGAGCCACTGCCCCCTGCCAGGAGTTCTTAAAAGAAAAGGGTACGTACTGTTTTCCCAGAGGCAATATAAAAAGATATATGCTAATATATATGGTAAATATATATTATATAAGGTAAATATATATACTATACATATGCTAATATATAAGGTAAATATATTATTAGTGTATTAGCTAGCTAATGCTTTTAGCTACAAGTAACAGAGCTTTGTGGCTACCTTTTTTTTTTTTTTTTTGAGTTGGAGTCTCACTCTGTCACCCAGGCCGGAGTGCAGTGACACGCTGACGGCTACTGCAGCGTTGACCTGCTGCTGGGCTCTGGTGATCCTTCCGCCTCAGCCTTCCAAGTAGCCAGAACTACAAGTGTGTGCTACCACGCCTAGCTGATTTTTTATTTATTGTAGAGACAGTTCTCGCCAAGTTGCCCAGACTGGTCTTGAACCCGCAGGCTCTGGCAGTCCTCTTGCCTTGGCATCCCAAAAGCTCAGCCTGTAATCTCAGCAGGGATTACAGGTTGAGCCCCTGAACCCGGCTGGCTACCTATGTTTTGACTGACCTGTCTCGTGAGATCAGGTGTGGAATTTCTACTTGTGGTGTTATATCGGCACTCAAAGTTTCACATGCTCCCAATACAAAGGAATGATAAATGTTTGAGGTAACAGATATCAAACTTACCCTGATTTGCTCATTTCCCACTAATGTATGTATCAGAATATCACATGTATCCCATAAATATTTTGTGTCAGTTTTAAAAATTAAAGATTTTGCCAGTCGTGGTGGCTCATGCCTGTAATCCCAGCACTTTGGGAGACAGAAGCAAGAGAATTGCCTGAGTCCAGGAGTTTGAGGCCAGCTTGGGCAACTTAGTGAGACCTCATCTCTACAATAAATCAAAAAATTAGCTGGGCATGTGGCAAACTTCCAAGTTCCAGCTATTTGGAAGGCTGAAGCAGAAGGATCTCCTGAGCCCAGCAGTTCGAGGCTGCAGTGGCCATGAGCGTGCCACCACACTCCAGCCTGGGCAACAGAGTAAGACTGACTCAAAAAAAAAAAAGTTTCAGATTTTGAAGCATTTTGGGTTTTCAGATTAGGGATGCTCAATCTATATATGAAGTACTACAGTCAAGGCTGGCCTTTTTTCTAAGATGATTCTTAGAAAAAGTCATGACGATTGTCACTTTGATGGTACCTATCATCCCATGGTCCCTTCACTCTGAGAAGGGATCATTTTCCTCACCAAATTGAGGGAGTAGGCCTTTGCCTTCCTGTTTTAGCACATGAACCCCCCAACAACTTTAGGTTGGACAAAAGGTAAGTGAAAACCTGACCCAAGCTGGACAAATCAAGATT